CCCCAGTACAAATCTTTGGAATATGGGGGGATTGTAATGTGATTTTTATTTGGGGGCAGAATCTGTGGTCTTGGGAGTATTTATGGCTATGCCACCACCCTACGTAACTGTGACACAATGGGTATAATAAGCATTTTTTTATGTCGTTGCTTCGAGTGTCTGAATTGTGAGCATATCATAAATTTAGAAGAAGCTTTTGAAAACGAGTATTTGAAAAGGGTTTATTAGTTTTTTTGGCTTTAGTTCTTAATATTATGACTGTCAATTCTTTGTACAAAATATCAATCCTTGGCATAATTTGTGGTTTTGATACTGACAGGTTCAGGCACACTAGACCAATACAATAAATGAATTAAAACGTATACACGACACAAACACAACTATATATTACTTATACATGACACAAATTTGATCCAATACCAATCTCATTATACATGTTAATCAATTTTAACGTTACAGCGTGAACAATTGTCAAATCTAATTATCTTTCACCACCAAATTGCAATATCCACATATTGTTTTGACCCTACACTTTTGCTACTTGCTTCAAGTTTCTGAATTAATCATAAAAGGGCCCATGTATTAGCTTGCGTCCAGTATCTGGACGTCTCTTTTTGGTCCATATGGCCATTGATGTGATGATTTTGGATGTACCTTAAATGTGGCTATGACTTAATTGTAGACACTTTGGTCCGGTTGTGTGGACCTTTTGTCGTTTCTTTCTTTAACCTAAAAGAAAGAAAGATGATACTTTGGTCTACAAAGACTTGTTGTGATAGACTTGGAAAGTGTTAACAAAGTGGTTTTGTGGGCCTGTGAGGGCCAGCCAGCAGCAGCACACGACTTGGTAGTTCCCAACTTTCTTCTATCATCGGAATGGCATCCACCGCCACACTGAATGTCAATAAAGAAGAGTGATTTGGGTATGCTGATGGTATAAAAAACTAATTTTTGGTAGGGATAACATTATGAGTTTGTAATTCCATCATCATCTGGTGATTTATTACATAATTAGAGTTGTTTGGAATCGATTATAACACTTTAGAATCGAAATTCTTTTTTTTTTTTTTTTGCAATTTGATTGTATTAAATTATAACTTTACTAAAAAAATTATAATTTTTTACGCGATATCACTTTGCATATACCTTTCTCATCACGTGAATGTGCCTGTGCCTGTACCTGTACCTTTCTCTATGGACCAGAAATTGAAAGGGATGATGCACTATTATTGACGGATGGTGAGTCAAAAGATAATTCCAAAAATCTCCCACTATTCTGCTGTCTTTTTGCGCAGGCGGACAAAGCAAATACGGCGGGTAATGTGGATCAAATTTTAAGAATACTAAAAAAAAAAATTTTACGGCGATAAAATATTATCATAAAAAGTCTATTTATCGTCATAAATATTTTTTATGACGGCATTGCTTCGCCATAATAAGTGTGGTCTCAAAGATTTTTACGGCAGCAACGGTCTATCTCAAATAATATTTACGGCGTCAAGATCCTGTCGTAAATAAGTTGTCACAAAAAATTCAACACTTTCGTTTTTATCAGGGTGGCAAAAGTGCTTCCTCAAATACAATGGTTGTCGTAAAAAATAGAAGATATATTTATAACGGCAATGATGCAGCCATAAAAAAAAAACAATTTTTTTTTAATTATTATGGACTATTCGTAACCAATATTATATACCCTATGTATAAGGCAAAATTTTTACAATGTAAAGAGTATCATTAGATTAAAGACTCATTTATATCCATACAACTACCCAATTTAATATAGAGATAAACACAAAAGTAAATATAATCAAAATTTCTAAAAATATAGCAATATTTTCATATCCAAAAAAAATAATCTCACGAGTTAAACAAAATATAAAATATGTACTTTTATAAAACATAAAAATCTATGAGTACAAGAAATTAATACAAAAAGTTGAACATCCTTCCCGAACTATCAACTCTCTCAATGACATCTGAAAAAATATAAAATTATTGTTACAATACTGAAATAATATTTATATACATATATATATAATAAAGAATTAAAAGAAGTTAGAACATACATCAACAAAGGGTCATGTAATATTTTTTTGAACAACTTATACAATTATGTAAATATTATATAAACGAATTATATCGTATACATTTTTTCTAACTGGTTTCACCAATGCCTGAATCGTTTATAATTGTATCGTGATGGGTTCACTCGCTTATTAAACAAATGGTTTAAGGAAGACTCAAACCCATTAATTTTATGTTATATTAACGGGTTGTGTCCTATTTTGGCACCTCTTATTTTGATATAAAAATTTGACTTTGTAGAGTTTAATTTTTTTTTCTTTGAACTAGAAATTGTCTTTTGATGTTAAACTACATAATTTTATAAAATATTACTTGTAACATGAAAAATAGTTGTGGCCAATACAAATTTTTTTAGAGTTTTTCTTCTTTAAACTATAAAATATTTTTTAATTTAAAACAATATTTTAATACTTTATGAAATATTATATACAACGGAAAAAGTAGTTACCATAAATATAAAAAATTCTTTTGAATTTATAAAATATTATTTCAGACAGGGAAAAACAGGTGTCTCAAATACAAAAGATTCTTTAAGTTTATGACATTATTTATGGCAGAAAAAATAGTTGCCACAAATATTAACACAAACACGATTTTTGTTACGGCAAGTAGCCGTCACAAAAAATTGTGTCAAATTCATCTTTTATAACGGCAAACACAGCCGACATAAAACATTTGTCACAAAAAGTCATTATTCTTGTAGTGGATTAAATTTGGAGCACAAATGACATGATAATTAAATATTTAAAATTTTTATTGAGGCTGAAATGACATCACACCAATCAAAGAAATTCAAATTAACTACCATATCATTTAAATTCCAAATTTAATCTTAAAATTTGATCCATCTAACATTTCTGATACGGCGGTCTTGAAGTTCTTCCATGGTCCATGACTAAGTCGCTCCAATATTGGAGTGTCGCCAACTTGAGCTTGACTTGCTGATGAGATTTTAGGCTTCAGGTTTGAGTGGTTTCCAGAACTTATAATCTCCAGTAAATATTCAATATATATATATATATATATATATATGACAGAATTGCATTGAAACCCCATAAGATTTGTCACTTAATCACTCAAATCCCTTAATATTTAAAATATTATACACAGACCCTCCTAACTTTTATATATCCGTTAAGATGTAGATCCTTGCCGTCAAAATCCGTTACTATGTCCATTAATAAATTACACACAAATATGCTAAAATTTTATCGGCGTGTAATATTTAGACTTTTCAGTTATTTTAAATATTCTAATCAAAAATAGAATATTAAATATTTTAAATTTTACAACCAAAATTCATATTCTATTATAACATTTATTAAAATAAAGTAAAAATTAAAAAATTATAATTAGTATACAATTATACTATCTATTGTAATTTAATTTAATTTTTTAAACAACCAAATTAAACTACCAAATTACCCTAATTAAAGTTAGAAGATTATTGTGTTCATTACAATTTGATTTTTTTTTGAATTTTTTATTTTATTTTAATAGATAGTATAATTGCATATTAATTATGATTTTTAAGAAAAAAATAAATATTTATTTTCAATCAATGACATAATAGAACATGAATTTGAGGGATTTAAATATTATATACCTAAATATAATATTTTAATTTTGAGGGGGTATTATATTTTTACAAACTTTAAGGGTTTTGCATATAATTTACTAACGGATATATTAACTGACATTGACGAACAGAGGTATAAGCGTTACTCGTGTACAAATTTTAAGGGATTTGTGTATAATATTTCAAATTATTAGAAGATATGAATGGTGACAAATTTCAGAAAGTTTGAATGTAATTCACCCTATATATATACGGATAAGAGTGACATAATCACATAATCATTGTCATGTTCGAATTTAATAAAAATCTATGTGGTAAGTTAAATGAAATATTTGTAATTTTACATGGATGGGGTAGGTACAAAATGATGTAAGGTTCACCTACTTACACGTTAGTTTATATTGTACAGTGCACAGTAGTATTAACATTTTGTTATGTGTTAGGTCGAAGCACTTCCCGCCATTGCACAGAAACTCGCATGTGGTGGTGAATGCTCAACTTCTTTCTTTTAACTAACTTAACAAGAAGAATCCATGCGTTGAGTTGGTTAAAATCTCTACCTAAGGGAGACTTGTAGCAATTCTATCCAGGCTAATAATGTCGCCCCACCCCCACCCCACCCCCACCCCAAAAGCTACTACCTGGAACTCGAATCTGTGATCTCACTCTAATACTAATTGTTAGATCGAAACTTTTATCATTGCACCAAAGCTCAGTAGGAGTTAGTGAAGGCGTTACATTAAACATTTTCTCATACAATCTCTAACCCAAAGGCAATATATTTTGGATTCTAATCAATGATTTTTCCGTTGAAGTCTGGTTCAAACCCATATTTTTTATTATAAAATCGTGTTTTTTTTAAAGGTGTTCGATTACAATTGCTGAAAATGGTGTTTTGCAAATCCGATTTTACATTGAAAAGCATAACTTTTAACTATGTTTTTGTAAAAATTAGAAGATAAGTTTGAAAGTAAGATAATAAAGAAGTAGGTATGAAATCCCCCTCAGTTCGGTTAAAAACTCATTTCTGGCAAGTTTTGGTCATGTGGGAAAAGGTTGAGCTTGCAATCTGCTAAAGATAAGTCCACAGCCCCACACACAAAACAATAAGAAAGAATAGAAAGGATAACCAACAGCTAAATAAGAAAGACTGAATCAGGATCAATGAGTTAAAGCGCACAGTGGTCAATTACCTTCCATGGACTAGATCTTGAACCACAAAATTTTCTGGTAGAGTCATGATTCAATGACCTTACTTGACATGATTAAATTCAGACAAACTGAAAATTAACCACAAAATTTTGCTTAAAATATTTGCATTAATAGGATAAACAAAGTCCTTTAGCTAGAGCTGAAAAATAAAAACTAATTTCAATCTAATTTCTAATTATTTGCATCACCACACTTACTAGTAGTCTAGTAACTATAGAAATAACATAAAATTTTCACCATTATCATGACTCATTAACAAGAGGATTTTGAAGGAATTCAATATCCATTGTTTGCACCCATCCATTCACTAAAGCTCGTTGTTTGTGGTGGTGGAGGGGGCAGCAGCGGTGGTGGTGATGGTGTCTTCCGCCTTGGCCTGCTCTCTAAACTTCTTGTATATATCCCCTTCGTAAAATTTTCTAGTCCTAAGAACCAAAATAAACGAAACCATACACCCGGCCAGTGTAGCCCCCGTGATTATCAGAAAAGCCAGTTTGTAACACTCAACTCCGGTGCACGTCAAGTCCTCTCCGGCTTTCCGGAGAAGCCCCTTTGCCGCCATTTGCTTTAAAGCCTCTTTGTCATAGAGATGACCAGCCACTCTAACATTGAGAAGATAAGCCCCAACAGGGCTTGCTCCGGCACCAAAGTTGTACAATGTGGAGTAGTATTTAAGGCCAAATAGTTCTGAAATGATTGCGAAAATTAATGGCCATTGAGCTCCAAAACAGAACCCCATAATCACAGAAGAGATATAGAGAGAATTGGGTATGCCAAAGGCTATAAGAAGATGCCCAACACATGAGAAAAGAAGCACAAATGTTAGCATTAGGGGACGTGGGAGTTTGTACTTTGCCAAGAAGATTTCAGAACCGAAGCCGGATACTACTCGGCCGAGATAATTCCATATGCTCACCAGGGATATAAATGTGCTTGTGCTTGCATTTGGATACCCTAAAGACTTACCAATCTGACCCAAATTATCAATTGCCGTCAATGTCCCGCCCACGCCAAAAGTTGTTGCGGCGAACAGAATCAACATGTCGACGCTAAAAAGTGCTTGCAAAATGGTATAATCCTCACCTCTTTCCGGCGGATTGAACACGTTGGTCATGCATGAAACCGGCTCTTCTCGATTTATTGGAGACCCGGAAGCCGGCGGAGGTGGCTCTGAATGTGTTCGCGGCGGTGCTAATTCAATTGCCGGTATATTTTCAGTCACTACTTTCAATGGAGAAGGATCATCCACCACTTGTTTTTTTACTTTCCAAAGGCTGAACTCTTCTCTGATAACAACAGCCACCGGAGCAAATAGGAGAATAACTACAACTGTAGCACTTCCGGCGTACTCAATCCAATTAAAGGTGAGCCTATTTTGTAAGATAATGATGACCATAAGAAAACCAGCAAGACCAAGAGAGATATAGAGAAGATTATAGAAGACCTGGACCTCATTCACTTGTCGAACAACCTTCATGATACGAATTATTCTCAGAAAAATGAACGAAATCGCCGCCGGAAGCCAACCAATGAGTAAGATCAGAGACTTAGAATTGTGTCCATATAAAGCATGGTATATCTGTGTGATTATAGCACCACTGAGGCCAACAAAACCCTTCAAGAGTCCTAAAACAATGCCTCTACTCTCCGGAAGTTCTTAACACAGGTGACTAAAGCCCCCGTATTTGCAAATGTTTGAGAATTTGCACCGATACATATATATAAACACATCTGCCAAACATGGGGTTTGGAGATTTTTCCGGTCACGGCGAGCCATATCATGAAGTAGCCGAAGAAGTTCATGGCGGCACCCATGGAGAGAACCACCCATGGGGGTGTGACCTCGTTTATGAGTCCCGATATGATTCCGACGTTGCCACCCAAGTCTTTGAAGAAGCTTAGGAGATTCAGGGTGGTTTGGTCGTAACCCAGTGATGATTTGATGTCGCTGGAGTAGAGACCGAACATGTAGGTTGCACCGGCGGCGGACATGATCAGCAGCGAAGCAAAGATCATGAACCACCGACCGGTAACGACGTGGAGGGTAAAGCTTCCCATCTCTCTCCAACTACCACCACCACTGAAATCGGCCACCGCCATGATTTTCAGTGAACACTCACTAACAGGGAGAAATTGAGAATTCGGTGTTTGGATGGATAATTGTGTAGAAGTCCCGAAAGCTGTATATTATAAATATATGAACAAAATACACGTTGTTTCGGGAGAAGGATGGATGGGATTAGGGGGTTTTTTTTTCGTGTGTAATGTTATACTTATCAAAATATTTATTAAAATGTTATTTTCCTAAATGAGTTAACAATTCTATATTCTATCAAAAATATTTTGATTAATATTTGGTGGGCATTTAGTAGATTCAGAAGTGATATGCAAATGTCAACTCATTTAGTAAAAATATTTTTTGATAAAACTTTTAATATCCATAGAATTTTTCTTTTTTTTCCATCTACTCCAACGTCTTGGGTTATGTCTATTTTAATTTTATTTATATTTGGCTTATGATTTTGCAATGTATGTGAGTTCACATAAAAGTAATAATTGTATTTTGTAATTCACTTAAATAAATTTGACTTAAAATCATCTCTTTGTTTTAGATTATTAGACACTTGAAAGATCAATATTATAATTTTTTTTTCTTGTGGTCCCACATCAAAAGTAAAGATTTTATTTTATATAAATTGACTTGGCCTTATCTTGAATTTGAACATTATGTATTCGAAGGGTTAATACTATAATTTACTAAATTAGTACCATTATCTGATTTCTACCTAATTTTAGTTCCACCTCCCATGTGATATTAGATGTACCTATGAAGATGAGTTTAGGGTCACTGTTTATACTAGGTCGGTATTAGAATCCCAAAGCTGGTACTTTGCTAAAAATTGTTAACAAACTAAGTATATATGGGACTCATGTACTAATAAACACTATCCCACCTACTTATACCCCATTTATCCCTAAAATAAACACACTCTACGACATCGTTTGGATGACTGTAATCTTAATCAGGAACATGTATCTTATTCCTAGTAAAGTGATACCTGGGTTTCAAATATCGTAGTAATATTCTATTTAATGTTTGATATCGTCAGTAATTTAGTATAGTAATGGATATCTATTTTAGTAATATTTTTAGTCATGAACTTTATTTTAGGAAAGAACATGATTTAAGAAAGATAGTTTGGCTTTAGCAACAAACTAAATATTGTGAAAGATTTTGAATTTGACTTTTTTTATTTTTCTTTTTTTAGAATACCCAATTAAGTTGGGTATGAAATTACCACCATTGATGGGGATTTAAGATTTCCACAATCATTGGGAATTTGATTCCAGTGGTAATCTTATTCACGATATAAATTACGAACTCATTATACTCAAATATGGTAATTCATAGAATTAGAAATGAGGTTATCACTCCCAACCAAGATTACCCCAAACGAAACGTAGCCTAATAGTCTATGAAGTATGCATTTTGTGTTTTTTTATCCTATTTTTTTTCAAATATGTCAATTTAGTCTTATTCATTTTCAATTTATATTACTTTTGGTCTAATCGAAAATGACTATGCAAATTGATTACTTGAGGTTTCCATGTGCATTTACTGTGACCACCATACTTTTCATTTAAGTTTTTATTTTTTTTGACGTATTTTTGGATTACAGGTGTGTCAAAGTTCAATTGAACTTAAAATCTAAACACGTACAACTTCACTTATTCGAATCGGCGTGAAGTTCTAAAATCATGATTGTTCAGGCGATTGTAGCGAGGTGTAATGCTACTTCCAAGTTCTTTTCTATGCTTTACAGTTCAAGGACTTTAAATAATTTTTCAATTAATAGCGAAATGGACTGAAACGTAAGAAAGATCAACAAAATTTAAAGCAGCAAGTAGACTAAATTCAGAAGATGAAATAAGTATTATACAATGTTAAATGAAAGCAGTAAAGGATCATCGGATTGATGGATTACAAGAAAACTAAAGTCGCTCAGGAGTAAGAATGAGTGAGCACAAGGTAGGCTTTGTGAAGATTTTTATTGAGTTTGATCGTGGGATCCTTTCTCAGTGACCTGGCCTCTGTTTATTTATAAGGATGGCCTGCAACCGTGAAGCCATCTTTTTCGACCATTACAATGATCATGGCCTTTACTCTCAAGACACATGGACGTGCATTGAGTCGTCTCTAATTGGTGGTTCATGATATCACGTCTCCCCGTTTCCTAGGATTTTTAGAGTCCCACTCCTCTAAACATTCTATCAATCATGGACTCTCATAGACTCATTCATGATCGTTGGATCTCTTTTATGTGTCACCCTTTGATCTTATTAATTTTAGGTGTAAATATTGCCCCTTAAAAATATGTGTTTGAATACTCCATATTTGGGGCGTCATTTTTGTTCTTTTAAATTTAAGCTTTTGCCGCTACACTTGCCCTGCATGGCTGTCATCCCAATACTGGCTGTGAAGCTTAGAGATTGCGGCTAATCTTCCATATGTAGTCTCTCAGTCTATCTTTTGTCTTTTCAAACCTATAAGAAACGACTTGCACATGATCCGTTTATATCTTTTCATCATTGTAATGACTCATTCTCTGTGCCTATATAATCCATCCTCAGACTTGTTGTGTCATTATTCTGACTTTCTCTTCTTCTTCTTCAATGGAGTGTCCTCCATTCGGGGCCAAGGCTAATGTTCTGCTCTCCTATACCGAGATGAGTTATACCTTCCTAACCAATACATAGAATAAGCCGATTATTGCTTATTATCTCTTCATCGTGGCCTACTGCGGCTGTGATGGTTCTTCGGTGTTGAACTAGGAATACATTTCATTCCTACTTTACTGGCTCAAGTAATTCTGTAAAATTCGGATAAATTTGAATTTTTTACAAAAAGGGGTAAAGTGATAAATTGTCACTACGGTACAGGTTGTAAACCTGAATTTTTTTAGATCTTGGATGATAAAATGGACCTCACCATTGGATTCATCTTGCAAAATCTAGCTACGCTGTCAAATTTTATCAAATTCTAAGATAGTCGAATTTTTTACTTTTTACGAGGCAGTCAAGTCTCGGGTGACCTAAAAATGAGATTTTTAATAAAATCTTGAAATTTGAAAAATAATTTGAGATAATTTAAAATAAAAATATTTTGAACTTAAATCGAGACGAAATTTAATCATATCGGTGCGAAAAAAGATCCGAAAAAAATAGGGTCGTGTGGCGCGTTGTGAGCCAAGCAATTACAGGGTATAAATAGGGGGGAAATCTAATTTCTCTCCCATTGGATCAGCCGGTTCTAACGTGAGAAAGGAAGAGAGGAAAAAAGGGAAAACTCTCAACTTCTCTCTACGATCTACAAGCTCGGCTGCCCAAATCAACTCAAGCCAAGAATTAAAATCGATCTTCTCGACGAGGGCTATACCAAAAAGTGCAAGTGTTATCGAAGATCAAGGAACAAAATTTTGGAAGCTAGAGATTCTAGCTCATTTATGGTGTTGTTGAAGGTTTTTTAAGTTGAATTCACGTTTCAAGAGGTAGGGTTCCCTCCTACTTTGGTTTATTTCTAACCTAAGATATCCATATGGAATGGGTAAGTGTATAACTATATATGTCACTTGTCTATTGTTATGGAAATGATGAAATGGGTATGGAAATGACTTAAACCAATTTCTAGTTTGAATTTGGTGTAAGGAAGTTACTTGTGTAATTTCTTAGAACTTGTTAATATGTGAGCAAATTTGTGTGATAACATGACTTGGTGCCTTGAAGGTGTATGATAAATGCCTATGTGAGAATTAAGTTTGTTATGGCATGAATGATGTATGACATGCTTGAGAAAATGGTAATGGGATGAATGAGTTGATATATGTTGTTAATACATTAGCTTCATGATAAATTGTGGTAATTATATGCCTGTGACATAAATTGTCGTGGAATATGTTGATATGCAGTTTAATTGTTCATTTGACATTCATTGCATATTGGGCATGAAGTTGACATCACATTCATGGGCATTAGACATGAGTGTGGGTGTGTGTACATGGTTTAATCAAACACTAATCTTGGTGTTTGATAAGTGGACTCGAGAAGGTTAGATTGAAGATCTAGCTAAGTTGCTTGATTGCATGAAAAACTTGTGTCGGGTATAGCAAGTAGGGCTAGACTCTCCCTCGGGTGCAAGACCCGACTACTTGGTTCATACACTTTCCAGAGGTAAAATTCCAGAAAAGTGTATGGGTTTGTGGAACTTGTGGTGCTACACCAAAACTCCGTTACCCAACAAAGACACATGATTTTGTTTTATAAAAGGTCTGGTTTATACGCTCTCCTGAGGTGAAACTCCATAAAAGTGTACTTGTTTTTATAAATTAGTCATTCGATGTGTAACATCCAACAATGATTCGGTTTTGTAAACACATGACTTTTATTTTAAAATGATCATTGGATGTAATTCATCAATAACAAATTTGCTACACATTGGCATTGCATTGTGTTGCGCATTGCATTGTGTTGCGAGAGTCGGTAACGGCTCGGGTTAAAGTACATGAGTGAGTCTCATCTAATTTCGTGTCATGGCGTGGTAGAATTCTAACATTGAATTGCATATTCTTAATTGGAATGAATGATGCTTGTTGATTGTTGCATGTGCACATTCCATATGCACTTAGGTTGGGGAGTAGCCTCTGTAGAAGATACTCTATTGAGCGTAGCTGACCCTATACAGAAAAATATTTCAGGTGCGGGATGCATGTCGGGGGACGACTCTTATTCGGGGCCTCAAGGATGAAGAGAGGCTGACTTGTGGCCTTTAATCCGTATTTTTGTAAAACATAGTGAAAATCATGCTTTGGACATATAATCTTTTGAAAATGATTGTAATAGAACTTTTATTAAATTGTGTTTGATGTACAAGTATATGTTATATGAGTTTGGGTGAGTTTGAAATAATTTGAAATTGAAAGCCGGTGAAACAGGCAAATTTGGAAAACCTACCGGTAGATCGTTGTCCAGTGGGCAACACCTATCGGTAGGACCTTGTACAGGCAAAATTTTGTATATCTGGCAAAACCTACCTGTAGGACTTT